AATAGTCCAGTCTGGAGAGAACAAGAGCTTGGACAAGGAGTTGTGTGGTCTGCTCTGTTAGGAAGGGTCTAATCTTCCTAATGTTTTATAAGGCAAACCTGCAGGACCGGGCCGTTGTAGCAATATATTCTGTGAAGCTTAACTGATCATCCATCACAACTCCAAGGTTCCTGGCCAGTAGCAAGAAGTTGTGACTTAGAAACCTTACCCCTCCAAGACACCCTGAAGGGCCTACCAGAGAGGTAAGACTTGAACTACTGGAGTGCGGTTCCTGAGATGCCCATCTTCTTGAGGGTGGACAGGAGGATCTGGTGGTTAACTGTGTCAAAAGCAGCAAACAGATCCAGCAAGATGAGTACTGAGGATTTAGAAGCCACTCTTGCCAGTCTCAGGGCTTCAGTAACCGAGAGCAGTGCAGTCTCAGTTGAGTGGCCGCTTTTGAAGCCAGATTGGTTGCTGTCCATGAGGTTGTTCTGTGCAAGAAACATAGAGAGTTGTGTAGGGTTTACTAAGGTGCGAGTGGTGAAACTGTTTAGCATCTCTTTGAGAGTGGGGGGGGACCATTTGACATTTAGTACCCATATAAGTGTGACGTCTGGGACCAGGACTGTAATTTATATGCAAATGTCAAAAGCTAAAAGGGTCTTCTTAAACCATAAAACCCAAAGATCATGCGTGATTCTATGCAGACGCTACAGTTGGTTGAACACAACTCGCTCAAGTGTCTTTGCAATGAATGGAAGAAGGGATACCGGTCTGTAGTTTTCTAAAAGTGCTGGATTTAGAGAGAGTTTCTTAAGCAGTAGGGTTACCCGAGCCTGCTTGAATGCTGTGGTAAAAGTACCAGAGTGAAGAGAGGTGTTAATAGAAGAAATGGCCTGAAGGAGGTGAGTGGGGATAGGATCAAGCGGACATATAGTAGGATGATTGGAAAGAATACGTTTAGATACGTCTGCCTCTGAGAGTGGAGAGAAGGTGGAGAGAGAATGAGTATTTATGGTTACGAAGTTTTTGTCAGTTTGTGGTGTGGAGAATTGGTCGCTAATGGTTCTTGATTTATTTATGAAGAATATTGCAAAGTCATCAGCAGTATGAGTTGATGAAGGAGGGGGTGGAGGAGGACAAAGAAGAGAAGAAGAGAACATCAGACAGCCAGGGGGCGGAGGTGGTGCGTGCTGGTCTAGATAGATAGATAGATAGATAGATAGATAGATAAGCTTTAATATATCCAACTTTTAAAATGACTAAACTTATATGTTTTCCTTTGAACTCTGTGTGAAACTATATAAATAATTAAATTCAGTTGATTCCTTTGCATAGTCATATATTTTCTTTCTGCTGCCAAACTTTTGCTGCAGCGGAAGTGCTTATTCCTTCCTTGTAAATGAATTTAAATTTATTAAATTTTTTATATTGACATCTCTTAATCTTCAGAAGAAAAGTGAATTGCTGACTCTTGCGAGAAGTGAATCCAGCTGACGCTCTTCACGTTCCGTGTGACTGGCTGTTTGCTGCATGTGTCACACTTTCAGGTGCACACACTCCAGAGTTAATCACAAACTCCGGTCCAAACTCTGAGTTGACAGAGAATGTTAATATCGAGTTTTGTGAGCCCGGTGAACCTGATCTAAACCAGTTTGGCTTTATCGGGTTTTGTCAACTCAAAACTTACTCTGCAACTCTTGAGTTTGTTCATCTCGCTTCATGCTACAGGCCACAGGTAATACTAATCCCATGTGAATAGGGCTTTAATGAATGGATATAAATGTATAAAAACAAAAGCAAGTGAGGGACTAATGACTTAATGAATGCAACACAGATTAACAGAGTAACGTAATTAGGACAACTAGGAAAAGTAGGTCAAAGGAAAGTCAACACAGAAAACCACAGACATGTAACAAGAGGCCAAAACAGAAGAGATATGTTGGCTCTTCTCAGCACGCACAAGCAGACAAGCTGCCACATTCTGAACTAATTGTAAGTGTGAAATAACGGTCTGACAAGACCCCACATTAAAAAAAAAAACATTACAATAGTCCAGAAAAGACAAAATAAAGGCATTAATAAGAGCTTTAGAGTGGGCGGGATTATTCACATGTCGTTATAGTTGCGCCGCCTCTACTACCACGACTCCTAAAAAAAACTTTTTCATCCCGCGTCGTCCCATCAAGCTCTCGCTGGATCCGCTCCTCTGCTATCAGAAAAGCACCATAAGTGTTAATGTCTGAGCATACTCTGGTGGGGCAAAAATCATAATCTGTTTTACTTTGATTTAACTGAACCAAATTGTGAATCATCCAACTTTTCATCTCTTCCAGACATGCCAAAAGTACATTTGAACCACAATTCTCTCCAGATGTCAAAAGGAGATACATTTGTGTATCATCAGCATACAAATGGTAAGACATGCTGTATTTTTTTTAAAAATCGAAAACTTGCTGCATGAAAAATCAGTATGCACCTACAATGGGAATATGTTTTTATTTTTCATGGAAGGTAAAAATAATGACATCCAAATAAATGCACAAGTTTATGCACTTTAAACTATGCTTCCAATATACATCCAATAAAGAGAACAGGCTGAAACAATTAAAGATTTTTTTTTTCTTATTTACAGTATGTTGTAGGATTTATATTAAACAGTATTAATTAAAGAACTGACCTGATTTAAACCAATTTCCTGTACAAACATTTAATTTATTCGTTAACATGGAAACTACAAAAGCTTTACCAATCATTTGAAACAACTTAAACCAGAATTACTTCTCAAACTTTACTGCAAGGCTGCTCAAGCCCATGACTGCTATCATTGCCCCCACAGGACGTGACAAGAGCTGGTTTCAAAACTCATGTTTTGCATGCCAGCCAAACCACAAATGCAGCCATAATAATCTTTGAACTTTGTAACTCTTAAATCTGCAGCTCACTGCTATAATGATGAACAGGTCACCGAAACCTTTCCAGCCCACGCTACCAAACTCCCCAGTTTCACTTACGACACTGCAGAGAACTAGCAGCGAAGACATTCTGGTAACACACATCAAATGAAGTGTTACGTAAAACATAGGGATTTCACACTAGAGAAAACCCAAATATCCACATACAGTACAACAAACCATTAGATTTATTGAATACATGTGTTATTTATTCAGTTTAAAATAAATATGCTGAAGTAGAACGTGTAGAACCTGTGACCTGTTTTTGTTTGTTACATCTACAGATGTTTCTTGGATGGTGTTTCATGTGCAGATCATTTCTTTTACTAGGTCTGAGGAAAATAATACAAAAACACAACGAGTAAAAAGAACAAACATCCTTTAAAAATAGTTACATTTTGTATTTAGTCAGGAAATTGTCAGTACATTACAATAAAATATATCAATTATTCAAATACTTAAAATAATTAAAATCAAGAGACAAGTCTCCTTTGATAACTAGCAGCAGGTCAGCAAACAAAATAGTCTTACTCTGTTCCTGTTGTTTTCTCCTTTTTGTGTGTGTGTCTGATGTTAGAACATTTAGGGGGAGACAAATAAAAGCTTACAATTCATTTCATCTGGATGAATCACTTTGTTTCGACCTGAATCAGCAACATCAAATGAGATGGAAGAGGAAGCAAAACAAACATAAAGCCTGCATCTGCCCTTGTAATATTTGTAATGCTTTGTTATCAATATACATAAGAGTGGTATAGTCTTCTTGTAACAATCTGAAAGGTGGTAGCTAAAAGGTACAAACCCACTATGGAGCCTTGTGAACTCTCTTGAGCAAGACAAGAACAATGTGCATTTACTTTTAAATTGTAACATATTTAGACATAAGTGTATGATGATGATGCATCAGCCAAGTGTTATTAAGGGAAATAAATAAACATTTTGCTAATATAGTAATTTGCTTATTTGCATCTGCTTATTTGCTAATAACAGCACAAAATGTAAAGGTGCCCAGTAGTAAATTAAGAGTTTATGTTCTGGAATTGTTCCAACTTATTGTAAACATGCCATAGCGCAGCCTTTATTGAAGAAATCAAACATGGATAAGAGTGTGTTGTGCAATTATAGACCAATTTCAAACCTTCCTTTTTTTAGCAAAGATTTTGGAGAAAACAGTTTTTAATCAACTTGAGTCCTTCCTTAATGATAATGCTATCGGTGAAGACTCTCAGTAGGGATTTAAAAAACATCATAGTACAGAATCTGCATTATTGAGAGTTTTTAACGATATTTTTATGGCAACTGACTCTGGTGACGTGACTCTACTTTAGCTTTTAGATCTTACAGCGGCATTTGATACAATCAACCACCAGATTTTGATCTCACGGTTAGAAACTTGTGTAGGTATTCGAGGTAATGCCTTGAATTGGATTAAGTCTTATTTTCAAGACAGAAGTTTCTCTGTTCAGATGGGTGAAGGTATGTCGACCTCAGCGCCTTTATCTTGTGGTATTCCACAAGGATCCATTCTAGCACCAGTCTTTTTTTCACTTTATATGCTCCCGTTAGGTCAGATCTTGAGTAAATATGGTGTGTCATTTCACTGTTACATAGACGACGAGTATTCAAACTGAATGATTTCACTCAGCCTATAAGGTTTTAATTCAACATGATGATGTCTGAAGATGTCTGAAATGTCAATTTTTGTGTCTAAAATAGACACGAAAACTTTTGATATTCAGCATAATACAATCATCATATCATTATTTTCCCAAGACACAAAAATAGATCACTTAACCTCAGAACTGTTTGGTCTGACTAAATCTCACATATGTCGATATTCAGATAAAATCACACACACACACACACACACACACACACACAAGTCTCACATAGCCATTCATTAAGTGTTAAAATGAGATTTTGTGTTGGTCATCTTATCCCATCTTACCTACCCTTTTTCTCTATTCCCTTAATTAGTCCACTAATATAGTCCACTATAAGGAAGGAATTAAAATGAGTAAGCAAATTTGGACACAGAGTGCTGGCTTTAAAAGTATCCCCCCACCCACTCTCTGTCTCTCTCTCACTATCTCAAAAAAATTATAATAATAAAAATAAAAATCACTAGGCTGGTAGCCTGTTTAAAAGTACTACACTTTTGTACCTTATTTAGCCCTAAAAGATGCATATTACACTCTTAGAAAAATATGCTGGGTTAAAACAACCCAGCGCTGGGTTAAAATAAACCCAATAGCTGGGTTTGTCCCTTTTTAACCCAGCATTTTTTAGAGTGTAGTACTATAAATGAACATATATTACCTTGTTATTATTGCAGTGCATTATAGGATTGAATAAGTGCACATCATATCTACTAAGCTTTTGGATACCACTACAAAATCAATGTCCCCTTAAAGAGCGCACTACAAAAGGGTAAAGGGAGGGATTTTGGACACAGCCAGAGTCAGTGAAATTAATTCATTGATGTTATTAAATTAAATAAATATATACCTCCTGAATATGTTCTAGAGGACGCCGTTCATACTAGAACACTCTAACTGTACTTTCACTACTGATAAAAATAAATAAAAATCTTTGTGTACGGGACGCAAGGGGGCGTACATGCTCTTCAATTTGATATTTACTCAAGCTTGTCTTATATTGATTCATTGACATGAATGCACATTCACTAATTTGCACAGAAAACGTTCGTTTTCATTTCAGTTACAATAATATACAGGAGGATTGATCTTTAATCTTTTATCATACATTGTTTATTTTTATTTTTATTTCTTTCTTTATTAGGCTATTCATATATAGGCCTAACTATGAAAGCAAAATTGAACAATCAGCTGAAAAGAGCACAAAACCGCTATTCGGCATCTTGTTTATGACATTTCCAGTTTCACAGGGAAATGAAACAACTTCAATCAGCAAGTGGTTAACTCAACTGTAATTCGGCAAAACTTTTGTTAATTTTAAAACCGTACTATGATGAAGGCTTTGCTCATTAATATTTAACAAACCTTCCTGGAGAATACTGTCACATTACAGGATTACTATTCATGAACCACGCCTTCAATAGCAGCATTCCTTTAATTCGCTAGATTTCGCTTGTTTTCTTTAAAAAAAAAAAAACACTAGCTTTTCAAATCTTTTTGTATTCTGTCTATTTGTCCTCATTTGTAAGTCGCTTTGGATAAAAGCGTCTGCTAAATGACTAAATGTAAATGACTAGCGCCCGCTTACTAACGTCTGTCTTTCAGCCAATCAATTTGGACTACTGCTACTTCATTAATATTCATGAGCTTAGTCTTCGCCATAGTAGAAATCGCTTGCGGGTCCGCTTTACGTTTTGTCAGATACGTAAGTGCGCACTCTAAAGGGAAGCTGCAGTGTGCCAGCCCCCTCCTCACACTAATGTGTATGAGCTTTGACAGCTGTGTCTTGTCTCTTGCGCAAACTCTGGACTTCGAGCCCGAATCCCTCAACCTTTATCTTCAACTATCTCAAGCGTTCTTATCACGTCGTATCGCTCTTCTGGCCAACCCCTTTCGGACCTTGAGCAGACCTAACTCGGTCCAGACTAATTTTTTTTTTTTTTTTTTTTTAACCACTAATCTCACGATTACTCACGTTTCCTTATTTCAGCATTTACATTTGACAATCGGATGTTGACAGTGTGTGTCGATAGTTTTTTATCAGTGTCACAGATAAGAGTTTCTCATGGACGATAAAGATGTTCTGGTCCAGACTGGTGCAGCCCGGTTTGAGATCAGCATCACACTGCAGCTCAGAACAACTTTCCTCGGCATACCATTAGATATTTTAACGGTTTTAGGTCAAATGGTTTGCAACGTAACTAGAATTAATTTAACACGACTCGCATATAAAGGCGTTGAATAGATTTTCGAATATTATTTTGGCATGACGCATCGTCGTGACGTCATGGTAGTGGGAACTCATTTCCGTAAAACGGTTCTTTCGAACAGGATTAAAAAAAAAAACTGATTCGGTGATTCTTTTATCAAATGGTACCTTTTATGAGATCTATTCTAAAAGAAACTATGGTTACACTTTATTTTAAGGTGTCCTTGTTGCAGTGTAGTTATACATTTAGGTACTGAGTAATATTAATTAACTACATGTACTTACTCTATGGTTAGGATTAGGGTTTGGCTTAGGGTTACTTGCATGTAATTATGCATAATTAATTGTTATTATAAGAGTAATTACATGTAACGTCTAACAAGGACACCTTAAAATAAAGTGTTACCAAAACTATGAAACTGTAGCACGTTTGCTATTTATTACCCCGTTTTCCTCAATTAACTTTTGTTAGTGTTTTGTTGTGATTTCACTGTCCTTGTAGTCCATGTGAGGTAAATCTTCAATACAATTATGTCATAAATGTTTTTAAACAAGATATAGCTAAATATATACAATCAAGTCATAACTATATTTCCAGTTAGTTGTATGTGTTTCACTTTTTGTGTTTTGCTGTTAAAGTAACTTTCGTCCTATCAGTCAAATCCTCTGGAGAATCGCTTAGTGAACCGGCTCTGAATCACTGACAAGAAATGAATCGTTTACGCAAGCGTTACATGACGGCTGTGCGCGCGTCGTTTCTCTCTGAAACAAAAAATAATAATTTATATTTATTAGTATTTCATTTAATGTGGTGGGGATTTTTTTTCAGTCTGTGCCTGGAAAATATTCTTTTACTCTAAGATAATTTAATAGAAGCTGATTCTACTTTTTGCTGATGTCATACTAAAATAGCTTGTCATCCCAAAATACTAATTTAAGCAAATAAAACAAAATACCAGAAACTTCCAGTTAAAGTCTCAATTTAATAATTTTCCTTCCTTGGAAAAACAATAGAGACATTGACGAGATCTCAACTAACATTCTTATAAGCTGTTAGAGATAATACTCACATAGTGTTCGCCTAGAAGCCTGTATAACTATAATGATAATTGAATTAGTCAATGTTTCAGATTCACATGTTGACTCATCGTTATCAATCTCTCTGCTCTTCGCTTTTATGGGTTAATGTCATTAACTCCTTTTCCTTGTGTTACCAGCAGTACATGGGACATTATGTTCAAACATGGAAAAGACATTTCCAGTTGTGAAGTAACAAGGTTAATGATTGCTTCCTGAGATAAACTCATTGATGAGGAGACAATAGTATTCTGTAGCAAAGATAGAATTAGTGGCAGGAGGCACAATAGACATGTTAACTCTGGTTTGCCATAAGAAGTCACATTTCTAGTTAATCTTCTTGGTCAAATGTGATGTCTAATGGTTTGAGGGAGACCATTGAAAAGCATGAACAAATCCTTATTATTATTATTATTATTATTCTGCTCTGGACTTCTGACGTTTAAGACTGTCTCTGGGCCTCTCTAGCTGAAAAATGTTGCACATATTCCTTTCATTCTCTTAAAATCTAAACATATATTTGCATATATACTTTTTTTTTTATATATAGATATACTGATGTAACCATAGCCAATAAATCTTTTTATGCAATACCAACGTGATGGTTGATATTATAAATCGATTCTAAAATCTAATGTTCCAATGTGTAAGCTCCAATGTCTTGATATTATCTGCTTCCATAATTAGTCAGTTCAGTCCAGTCCAGTGTTAATATTGGCCGATAACTTTATGGTCAATATTAGAGGTCGACCGATGTATCGGTTTTGCCGATTAATCAGCACGGATAGTTTTTTGCTGGAACTATCGGTTATCGGCAAAAATCCATGCCAATAGTTTTCCGGGTTGCGTCCGTTGCTGGAACGGCTGAGAAGGGTCTGCTGTCATTATACAGTACGAGAGCGGCCTCTAGTGGTTGAAATCACTGACAGCACGTGCTATTTGTTTATACACGTGATACTGCACGCCTAAGATTAACAGTGTTCCTGTGGCTCAGTGGTAGAGCATTGCGTTAGCAGCGCAAAAGGTCGTGGGTTCAATTCCCAGGGAACACACATACTGGTAAAAAATGTATAGCCTGAATGCACTGTAAGTTGCTTTGGATAAAAGTGTCTGCTAAATGTATAAATAAAAAATAATAAAAAAATAATGAAAGCTGTGTAATGAAAGTATCGTTCCTTGTTAGAGTGTGTTAATTTCAACATTTTTATTATTATTATCTAGCTATCGGTCTCGGCAAAATCCACTATCGGTCGACCTCTAATATATTGTCAACTGGAATGCGTATTACACTGAGGTCATATCTAGGGATTTTCAGATTTGGGCCTGTAACTAGCAATGAGAATCATGAAGACAACCACTTAATCCATCATCTCATTCGAATACTAGACCTACTACCTGCAGAATACTAAGGTTTTCAAGATTGCTGACAGGGGTGCTTCACTAGTCAGACTGAAAAGCACAAGCTTTCTATAAATAGAAGCCGTCATTTTCTCTGCAGATGGGGGGTTTGGGGGGGGGGGGTCTGGAGAACAGTTTGGAGCTGCTTGTGTATAACACGGTGTCCCTGCATTGTGTTTGCTTTAGATAAAAGGACAAGACATGTAGCTTCCCTGTTCACACACATGGTTGATTGTAAGCACATTGACTGTAGCACATGTATGTGTAGCTGGTCTACAGTAGAGATGGATATTCCCCATGAAAATGTGCTTATGAACAGTAAACCTTCAAAAAAAAATAGCTTTACCATCACAAAAATCATGCAAGCAAATAAAGTTTTAAAGAATATCATAATGTTGTTGTTTATATTATTGGTCCCACTTTATATTAGGTGGCCTTAACTACTATGCAATTCAAAATAAGTACTTATTGTGTTCATATTGTATTGCAAAACAGTTTTGCTGCTATGGAGGTGGGATACGGGTAAGGTTAGGGACTGGTTTGGTGGTATGGGTAGGTTAAGGTGTAAGGAATGGGTCAAAAGTGTAATTATAAATGTAATTACAGAAATTAATTACAGGTGCAGGTTTTTTTTTTATACAAGTACAATGTAAAACATGAATGTACACAATAAGTGCATTGTATCAAATTATTAATTTAAATGTAAGTACATGCATATGCATATGCATTTTGCAACGCTGCAAGCAATCAAGCGGTATATAGTGTATATATTATAGTATATATGTGAGTATATGTATGTGAATAAAGTTGGACATAATTATATATTCAACTTTATATAGAGAGCTTGGCGATAATATAGCTACATGAAAAATGACTAAATGAAAAATCAGGCAGCTGAGATATATATCAATTCAAGTTTATTTGTATAGCGCTTTTCATGATACAAATCGTTGCAAAGCAGCTTTACAGAAAATTAAGTTTCTACAATATATTTAGTAGTAGCTGCTCAGTGGTGACTATGTCAGTTAATGTACATATGGCAGAAATGTACGGAAAAATCAGTTAAAGACGTAATCAAACAGACGATGAACACTATTAACAGCAATTATTATATGTTGCACTCAAACTTATAGCAACATTTGGTAGTTCTGTATGTTGTTTATATCACTTTATCAGAGTTTATTGAATTGTTGGATATAATATATTAAATTTAATACAGTTTACATTTGTGTGATGCTATAAACGATCACACAGTCAAGATTTGCTATATAGTATAATAGCTAAAAATAAATAACTGTGGTAAAATCACTGTAAAGTTCACTGTTGTGGCCTATGGCATATTTGAAACTGTGACAGTGGTAATATGATAAAAGAAACCAAATGCCACAATTTTCAGTATTACAAGGCTGTAACCATGTCATGAACAATGAGGGTGACCAAACCTGTTTTTTTTTAATTTTTTTAAAGGGGTGGTTCACTGGGTTTTTTCTAGGCTTGATTGTGTTTATGGGGTGCAGTCTAACATGTGTTAATGCTTCGTTTTTAAAAAAACGCATTATTTTTCACATAATTTACCTTTATTCCACGCCGCTCTGTCCTTCTCTGAGAAACGGGCTGATCTTTTCCTGCTTTTATGAAGCCCCGCCCCCAGAAATAGGCAATGGGCTCTGATTGGTTAGCTAGCCCAGTGTGTTGTGATTGGCTAAACCGCCTCTAGTGCGTGTCTAAACGTCCACAGCAACATCACACACTAACTAACGTTAAAAAAGTGAAATCGCATTGAACCACCCCTTTAATAGTAATGGTCTGAACTTGAACCTGAACTTAAAGTAATCAGTTTGAAGCATTTTCAAGTGCATACTCTTATTCGTATGTTATTGTTTATTGTCTTGTCACATTCAGTTAAGAATTACATAAATCAAGTAAAGGAAAGAATATATTTTTAATTCAAAACTGCGAAATTTGACAAAAGATGGAGTAGTTTGCAACACTGGATATTATTGTCAGTTATATCAAGATAAAACAGTTGTTAAATGTTAAATGTTTATCTTACCACTTTCCATGTAATCTTTTGCTGCCCAGATTGAACATCATCATGAAAGTGTTATTAGCATATAGCATGTGAATAATAGATTGTATTCATATTTGTTCTGCAGGGACACATTTACATTTTTAATCACACAGCAGTCCAGTCAATCAAGATGCATGAAGTAACAGCGCAAATTAGGCCCTTTCAGGTTCATGGTTTGGAAGATGACACTTTTTAAACTCACTAGGGTTGTTTTGGCTTGTGTTGCTCAGTGCAGTCTTCATAGATCAGGGGTTGTTCCCCAGGACATGATGAGACTAGACTCAACATACTGCAGGTATCAGCAAGAGTCATCGACTCTATCACACTTCTTTTGGTGAAGTGCACTGCAGTACATATCTCCGCAAAGGCCAGAGCTGTTTCTTCAGATGAAGAAAAACAGACTATAGAGTTTCAAACTGAGGTGTTTGAACATGATCAGTAATTTCAAATATTTAGAGGACTGTTTTGGTTATTGCTGCTGTTCATTTTTTTGTGTTCAGCACTGAAAATCAGGTGACAGTTTCAACATCTTAAGCCATGCGATGATACTTCCCTGAAAACAGAGGTGTTTTTTCTTTGTCTGTTGAGTCACATGATAGTCCTGACTCAGTGAAACTCCAAAGTAGGAAGTGTATTAAAGGAGATCACGTCGCAGTCTGTTATTTTGCCCTTGGGAATGAGGATGTGTTAGAGCCTCCCACAGTCATAGAATTGGTCGCATACACACTGCAAACTTTTGGGAGTGTACAAATGAAGACCTCTATTAGCATTACAGTCAACGGTCTGATATGGGATTTACTGCAGGAGGATATGACCTCTGTAAACTGCAATAGCTTTAGTTATGCCAACACTGAATTCTGCATATGAAACATACAGTTTAACTTTTCACAGTTGAAGTGCTGATTTCACAAGAGCTTAGTCAACATATTTCTCTGCATGGACACGCATTAGTAGGTTCTGTTTAGCTGACCCATGCATTGATGTTTTATCAGCCCAATCGTGGCATGCAACCTTTGCTCAGGATGTTTGGCTGTTTCCTACCAACATGTGACTTCCCTCTGATGAGGACAGTGCTGTCAGCAATACGAAGCGAGTTCATTGGAGGCTTTTGCTGATGGTTGATCTCCAACTGGTGGCGCACTACATTACAATTTTTACATTTTAGACAGAATTAAATAAAAAATGTGCATTACAATAATGTAAATGTATATGTAACAACGTTTGTAGATCGGGAAGAAGGAGGCGGGAACATTTAAAGAAAACTTTAATAAAGTAAACAAACACAAAACGAAAGTAAAGCGGCAGCCCCTCGCGGACGACTGCCGCACACAAAACACAAAATAAAGTCCAGGCCTGGTCCTCTCTCGTCCAACACTGTCGTCACTCCTCCTTTATCCTTCCGGAGCTCCTCCGTGAGACTCGAGACCGGTGAGTGGCGCAGGTGTCGTGCATTAGCATTTACTCAACCGGCCTCGCTCCGTTCCCACGGCTCTCGGCCCCGCCCCTCTCGTCACAGTATATATAACTACAGAAATGTATTACAGATGTAATTACAAGACGGTATTTTCCAATATAAGTACAATGTAAAAACATGTACAGCGCAATAAATGCATTATATCAAGTGATTAATTTGTATGTAAGTACATAGTAGTTAAGGACACGGCTGCTCAAATGGAAGCTTGGTCAATTTGTTGGTGATCAAAGGTTCAGTATGTATACCCAATCTAATTAGGTAGTTGCTAGATTATCAGCTGAAACAGTTCAAACTAATATCACAAAAATTATGTCTCTGTGATGACTGGTTCATATACCAAAGGAGTCTAGCCTCCTCTGAGATTGTTTTATAAATCTTTTACAGAATGTATTTTTCTACAAAGGTTTTGTATACATTCCGCAAAAGTTTACCTGTGGGGCTAATAATTTTACATTTTGCATTATGAAAATGTTTTTTATTTATATATATATATATATATATATATATATATTTTTTTATTATTATCTCAATATGTTACAATTTAAAAGTAAATGCACGTTGTTTTTAAGGGTGGCATCTTGTCAAATATATTAAGTTTGCACTTCTGCCTCTAGTCTTAATGTGTCCAGACAGATGCTATATTTATACCTGATTGAATTACATGTAAACACATGTCAGTAAATATGCATTTCAGGATTATCATACAGTATGTGTGCGTAAATGGGTTTCTTCAGAGAATCCATATGAGCAGGAAACACAAAAGCACTGATTTGATTACCTTAATGTAGTCACTCAGACCTGGGAATCCCCATCTGTCCTGTTATCTCACTTACACTAGTGGACTCAGTCTTAAAACCCTTTTACCTTTACTCTCACTCTCCCTTAGGCTAACTGAAATACAGAGAATCTAACTTTGATTTGACTTTGATACAAATCATGAGTTGTACTTATTCTCGTGGAGATTTAGTTAAAGCATCTGATGATAGTTGATTATCATATGAGTATCATATAATGTGCAACATCAATTTTATTTGTAAATGCTATAGCTGAGGGGCTAAACTTCAGCATATTGAGGCCTCTATTTCTTCAGGTGCTCCTCCAGATGTGCATCAGATCAGCCACATGTTGATTCTGATTTTAGCTTCGTCAAAAGGGCTGTAGTAATGGAGCATTTCGGTTTTATTTAGTTCAGTATAACTTAACATCATCAAATGTGTGCGATTCTATCCGCAACAACTTTGAGGACACCTAAAATATGAAAGAACTGTGTCGGATTTGCATGCTCTAACATTATCACAGACTAATGGCTTCCATTTGTTAAGCAGTTTACAGACAAAACGTGTTCGAGGGATTTTTAAAGAATGTTTTTCACTTCTGTTTTACATGAAAACTTTAGGTGTGTCAAGTTAAAACAGTGAAATGATTCATGGCTCAAGACAAGTACAGTTTGTCTCATTCTTTGCTTTCAAAACAACCTCTTTCAAAAGAAATGTTAGAGATTGCTTATGGTTTTGTACATGACATTTGCAGTGATCTAATTCTTAGAGTTTGGTCATATGAGTCTAAGCCTCTGTTTCTAATAACTTAAGATCCATGGTCCAACGGAAAGGGCCGGTTATAATACATGTTGTTGAACTGCCAAAGTATAAAACCATGCTGTCATTTTTGCTAAAAACTATTAAATGAGGAATAGCTATGGGGTAAAGTGTGCCAGTGGCTCGAATAATAGTGATAGTAAGTTTTGCATCCAAAAGCACTGTTTTCAAATTATTATAAACTTTTTCTGGCTAGTTTATTGCTCAATAATGACACTCAGTGAGGAAAAGATCTTTCACTAATTCCATTTCATCAAGACTTTAAGCATTTTTATTGTGCTTTTCCTTATTTAGAGGACAACTTGAAAGGACGGCTCACCCCCATCAACATTCATTCACCTTCATGTTGTTCTAAACCACATGGCTTTTTTAAAGGAACACACAAGATATTTTGAGAAATGTTTCAGTGTTTTGTGGCACAGCTTGTCCCGACTGTCCAATATGAATGCATAGTGGATTTCATAATGTATGAAAAAAGCATACTTCATCATCATATCTAGCTGACACCAGATTGTGCTGATCAGTAAAACCATCATGTTAGTCATCGCGTCATCAAACTCAACTCAAAGTCCTGATCATGTAATAGTAGTAATGTGGTGTAAACTTTGTCCTGAGCATTCATGCATTGTCATGCATTTGCTGAACATCAAGACGTGTATGTAAGAGCTTTTCTGTGAAGATCACTGTAAAAGCAAGACGTGGCATTTTTTTTTTTTTTTTGCGTGTCTTCTTAGTATTATTGAAATGACTGACTGCTGCTCTCTAGGCCCACTGCTGTGTCTGTGAAAGCAGATGATTGACAACCCGAGCATGTCTGTCATATTTTGCTCATAAATAATGCTTGAGGTTACCAGATTTACCCTGGCCTGGTAACCCTATAATTATAGCATGACAGTAACAACCAACAAGATATGAAGAGTTCATTTGCAAAAACCGATAACTCATATGATGCTGCTAAAAAGAACATTATTTTGTGTATTTGGTGTAATGAAATGTGTTTATGCGGTTTAAAGTTAAAAAACACATTATTTTCCACATACTGTACATTATTGCCCCGCCTTTTAATACACGGAGCCATTGGTTCCGTGAAAACGTTTCAGCTTTTATTCTCCTTTTTCGCCCTGAAGAAGATATCACAGGTTCATCAAGTTCGTCGAAATGATCCAATCACGGTATATGTGGAGAATAATGCACAGCAATCAGCTCATTTTTTTTAAAGTGGCGTTTATCGGTTTTTGCAAATGAACTCTTCATATGTTGTCACACTCTGTGGACTCTTAAAAAAATAAATAAAATAAAATAATAAGTAAATAAATAAAATAACTACAAGATGAGCTAAAAGTGCTGTCCTACATCCCTTATTGTATTTAGAAGTGTAGTAGTTTAGTAGTTTGTAATAATGTCAGCTGCAAAAAACTGTTCACCCTATTCATTGTACATTTTTCACTGCGCTTTTTTTTTGTAAATGCCAAAAGACGGTTTGTGTTGGTGCTAAATCTGGCCATATATGTATGAACAAAAATTGAACAAATATGAATAATTAAGTTGCTTTATACATTTCAGACTGAAATTCGATTTTAAATCACTAATAAAAAGTTGGATAAAGAAAAAAAAACAATACTGGTAGTATCAGTCAAACCATTTCTGTAACACTCTTTCTCCATAAGAACTTATGTATTGGACCACTCAATTTAACATATTATTAAATAAAAGGTACCATTACTACTTTCTGAGGACGTTTGTTTAGTCATGTCAGTTGAAATCAAGCCCCCTGATCAGACAACATAACCATGCCAACCAGTTCCCAGCATTGCAGGATTTAATGAAGTGTTAAGATGTAACCGTTTAATCGTTAACCCAGGACAGATGTCCACACTGACTCTTTAATTCTAATCCTTTATCATACCGTTTTATTTTACACCTACAAACCAAAAAATAACACGTTTACAAAATCATGTATGATTCCTCCCTAATATCTTGTCTAAGATATATGGATTCAGCTAATACAAAACTAATTATTGGGATTCCTGTAATACAGATCTTAACGTGCTCCATGTTTGCATTGCCAGGCTGCTATGCAGACTTACGACTGCAAAGGACAGGAAGTCTTCTCCAACGGCAGCGCTGGCCATATGAACGGCAAAGACACGGGCAGGATGCGAGAAGTGGCCTTTGAGAAGAACCCCTCTGAGCCACTGGTATAAACGTTTTATTTCATTTATGCATTTCATTTAATGTTTAAAAAAAAAATTTTTTACATACAAAGAAGAATAGAATTATTAAATTATTTGAAAGTAATGAAAACATGAAACATTTTAAACAATGTCTAATTTACTTGTGTCATTCAAAAGGATTATTAAGAAGACATCTAGTCTAAATTTGTGTTTTGTGCCTGTTCAGGGTGTAACTCTTAAGCTGAATGAAAGACAGAGGTGTACAGTAGCGAGAATATTGCATGGAGGGATGATACACAGACAAGGTTTGTTTGCGAATAATAATCAAGTTTCCATACAGCTCAATGAATAATTGCTAATGACAAACCTTTTATTTATTTTTTAACAGGTTCTTTACATGAAGGTGATGAAATCGCAGAGATTAATGGGAAAAGTGTTACTAATCAAAGTGTAGACCAGCTACAGAAGATTCTGGTGGGTTGTGTTCTCATTTGTGGACACACACTTTGCAGTGTCTTATGAGAATAGTACATTTTAGCATACTTTTAAAAAGAGCATTTATTATTAATAAAATATACTTTAAAAGAATATACTTAAGTGCGAACTGAATTTTATATTTTTGGACATTTAATGGTATGTTATTAAAAAATAAATGAAAATGTATAAATCTTATCTTAAATCCAATTAGTTTAGTGTAAGACTGCTTTCTTGGCAGCATTCACACATTGAAAAGCATTCATTAAAGGGATAGTTCACCCAAAAATGAAAATGTGATGTTTATCTGCTTACCCCCAGGGCTTTCAAGATGTAGGTGACTGTTTCTTCAGTAGAACACAAACGAAGATTTTTAACTCAAACCGTTGCAGTCTATCAGTCTTATAATGGCAGTCAATGGGCTCCACGACTTTGAGAGTAAAAAAAACATACACAGACAAAACCCAATTAAACCCTGCGGCTCGTGACGATACATTGAGGTCTTAAGACACGAAACGATCGGTCTGTGCAAGAAACTGAACAGTATTTATATCATTGTTTACCTCTGATCCACCACAATGTCTGAGCGCGTTCACAACATCCGGCGCGTGGCGCATGACGCGTGTACGTGCTCTGGCATAGTAGACATAGATATATATAAGTAGATGCCTCATTAGTGACTGTTTCTATGGGCCGTGATACGTTCCAAAATGGCGGATGCGTCAACGTATCTGGAGCGGTCGAATAGGGCATCTATACATGTGCGGAAGCGATCTGTCGCGCGTATACATCTCTCATTATTTACACAGTGCAGAGAGATTGCGGACGTGTTCACTGGCACTGCGATGATCTAAAGATATTTAGAAGTAGAGGTCATCACAATGGAAGACGATTTTGATATATCATCAGACAACGTGGAATTTTTATTTGACGTCACGCGCCGGATGTTGTGAAGATGCTCAGGACAGTTCGGACATTGCGATGGATCAGAGGTAAAAAATGATATAAATACTGTTCGGTTTCTTGCACAGACCGATCGTTTCGTGTGTTAAGACCTCAATGTATCGCAGGGATTAATTTGTTTTTTTTTGTGTGTTTTTTTTACTCTCAAATCCGTGGAACCCATTGACTGCCATTATATGACTGACAGACTGCAACGGTTTGAGTTAAAAATCTTCGTTTGTGTTCTACTGAAGAAACAAAGTCACTTACATCTTGGATGCCCTGGGGGTAAGCAGATAAACATCAAGTTTTCATTTTTGGGTGAACTATCCCTTTAATTGGCTAAAATATATCTTAATGTAATTTCTATTTAAACTTGTATGTCATGTGTTTAAATATATGTGTCTTTACACTTGACAGCATGACAAAATTCTCCATGCACTGTTTTAATGTCACATTGTGTTGTATCATACGTGATAGTATACAATGAAATGGTAGAATCTCAGGAAAACTACAGAGAATTGCCTGGGTCATATTTCATCCTAAAATCTAAAGAAAAATTAAGAAATTATATTTAACATTTTGTTTTGTTAATACGAAGTATGAATGAAGTATACATAATGATAATGACGGAGGATTTTCATGACTGCCTTAGATGATTGAGAATGGCATATACTGTATCTGTGTTATGCTAATTCGAATTTGGCATGAAGATGAAGCTTCAGTTCAAGTTTCTGTTGTGTAACTACTTTATTAAAAGCTGAACTTTAAATTCTGGGTAGCTTGAGGTTTGATTAGCTGTAGTTTCAAAGCAGCTCCCTGAGCACTGGCACTCCAAGATGTTTCTGTGGTTGTGTTGCTTTTGATTTAATGTTGTTGGATGCTGTTCAACATTACAGAAAGACACAAATGGTGTCGTCACATTGAAAATCATCTCCAATCAGCAAAGTCGCCCCATGGCATGTGAGGTGAGTAAAAAATAAAAAATAAATAAATAGCGAAACCAGTGTCACATCTTACCAGTTTCTTGCTTTATTATTATGGATCCCAGCCTACTCAACCCGCTTTTTCCTTTGATCAGTAAATACACACTTAAATGTTATCACTTCTTTCTTTGTCTGTCTATCCTGTATCCTTGGTTAAATTAAGGTTTGGTGTTTATCATGGGAATGGGAAACTGATTGAAAGACACAGGTGACTATTTAAAGCATCAATAGCAGATAACTACACTTACTTTTCTCATTAGTTGAAGTAACTACAAACTTTCTTCTGCCATCTGCTGGTCACACAGCATCAAACTGAACTGCAGTTGATTAAAACGTATTAGACATGTTTTGATGTTGTGTAGAGCGATGGCAGTCCTCATTCACCATGTACAAGTAACCATTATGCTGCTGTAAAGTTTGAACATGTAGAGCTTTTCTTACCATTTTTAGCCTGTAACTAGTTCTAGCTGTAGATATTGTCACTAATCAATCAATCTATCTATCTATCTATCTATCTATTTATCTATTATTTTAAAGAATAGTTTAAGCAAACATGAATGTATCACATGAAGGGATTTTTTTTTTTTGAAGATGCTAGTTACAGCTTCTACAGTAAGTAAGAAAGATAATATATATTAAATAATTAATGCACTGAATGCTTACAATGCATTCAGGCTATAAATTTTTTTTACCAATATGTGTGTTCCTTGGGAATTGAACCCACAACCTTTTGCGCTGCTAACGCAATGCTCTACCACTGAGCCACAGTGCATTATGAAGTGCATACAATGAGGGAGTAATGTTTTTCAAATAATGTTTTTGCAGACGTATATGAGAGCACAATTCGACTATGACCCTGCCAAAGATGAACTTATCCCATGCAAAGAAGCTGGCCTGAAATTCCAAACGGGTGACATTATTCAAATTATCAATAAGAAGGATCCAAACTGGTGGCAAGGGAAGGTGGACAACTCCTCCACAGACTTCGCAGGACTCCTCCCTTCCCCAGAACTTCAGGAATGGTACGTTCTGACATGCATTCATCTTTTTTTGGGCCCCACTTTATATTAAGTGGCCTTAACTACTATGTACTTACATCAAAAATTAAGTACAATGTACTTATTGTGTTCATATTGTATTGCAAAACACTTTTGCTGCTATTGAGGTGGGATACGGGTAAAGTTAGGGACAGGTTTGTTGGTATGGGTAGGTTTAAGGGTGGGTTAAGGTGTAAGGGATGGGTCAACTGTGTAATTATAAATGTAATTACAGAAATTAATTACAGATGTAATTACATGCAGGTATTTTTAAAATATAATTACAATGTAAAAAACATGTATGTACACAATAAGTGCATTGTACCAAATGATTAATTTAAATGTAAGTACATAGTTGTTAAGGCCACTTAATATAAAGTGGGTCCTTTTTTTGTATATTTGGTGATTGACTTTCTTTGAAGTTATGGAGAGATTAGTAATGTACATGTACGATCTCCCTGTCTTTCACAAGTTAAACATTTCTTTTCTTTTTTTCAGGCGAGTAGCAAGCAAAAGCAAAGCAACACGGGAAGCCAGTCAGTCCTGCAGTCCTTTTGGCAAGAAGAAGAAATGCAAAGACAAATACCTTGCCAAACACAGCTCAAGTAAGTGAAGCTCACCTCTGTAGCATTTCTAAGGCCTGCATGTGATTTCATATCACATGCAGTGCATATTTATTTTGAGAAAATCCTCTAATAACAATCTTTTGAAAAATAGGCTTACATACATACATATACTTTTGGTTTGTGTTCAGTTCCATGTAGATTAATTACTTTTTGGATGTAAAGGTGACACTTCTACCAATGAAGATTAGATTTCACAATGATGAGTTGTAATAATTCTCAAATGTCACCTCCCAATAACCAGTTTATGGCTGTAATTAAAAAAACAAACACTCAATGTAGTAACCCAGTATGAAGCACAAACGGTGTCTGTGTTAAAGTGCAACATGTGTCCGCTGTTGTAGAAGCAGGCCTTAGACAGGTGCTCTTGTCATGCATTAACTAAAGAATTTGTGTTTCTTCCTTAGTCTTTGACCAGCTTGATGTAATATCCTATGAGGAGGTAGTGAGACTGCCTGCATTCAACAGAAAAACTCTGGTTCTCATTGGTAAGCATCTCCATAGCTATCTTAGTCACAGCTCAGACCAGCAGGATGATTTATTAGAGCACAGATCATCATGGACAGCACAGACTGTGATCATGTCTTTCCACAGTTATTAACATTGTAAATCTAGCCAAAGTTTTTTACATTGTAATTAAAAAAAATAAAATAAATAAATTGAGGGTTTGACCATATAATTCTCTCTTCTGACAACCATAATCAAACTCTCTCTATTTTTTCTTCTTTTAAAAAGGCATAGAAGGCATATATATTTTTTTTTTTACTATGGACCTTTTTCACATTTCCTAGTTTCTCAGCAGCAGAAGTCATCATAGTTGGGTAAACTTCTAAAGCAGTGAACATGAGACTACATCATATATATTGCTTCATGATGTGTGTTTTCATGGCTTTCAAAGAGAGGAAAAAAAAATAGATTGATAACAGCAGTCAGAAAACAGAAAAGTGTCAAATTTACCGTCACGCCCATAGACGCTATATTAGAAACACATTTGCTGCAGTGTATACTATTTTTTTCTGTAATTTCATGCAACGGTAATATAATACAAAGTAAAGTGTTATAAATTTACTTTTTTTTTTTTTTTTAAACGGGGAAAAAAAAATATATATATATAAATTTGGCAGGATTTACAATGCTGATGACCATTAAAACGTGCCATTGCAATTTGTGAAAAGCAAATGGGAATGCAAAAATATATATTTGTTGTCATTTGTGTCAGACGTTTACCCAACTATGACAACTTCCGCTTCTGCACACAATGGAAATATGAAAAAGAGTCCCTTGATAAAATGTAGATCACACAGATCCACAACGATGATCTTAATAATTGAAAATGCACAGTTAATTAGAAGTGTACAGGCTAAAATGTGTTATTTATTTAAAGGTGCACCTGGAGTTGGAAGGAGCCATATTAAAAATTCACTGCTGAGTAAATATCCTGAGAAGTTTGCTTACCCAGCACCACGTATGTACTGTCCAGCTGCATGCCTTCTCTTATTCATTTCTTAAAGGTCCCCTGAAATGCTTAGAAACACGCAGCGTTACTCTGTGTTGACGTCATTTTAACTGAAACAGGAAGACAGGGCGGGACATATCAAGCAGCCCCGCCCCTTTTTAAAGTAGCCAATAGCGTTCGTTTATATCACAGCTTGGGCTAGATCAACACCCAAAAAACTTTAATTTTGATTTCATGGGGACTTTAACCATGAACTCTTCCACCTGTTTTTGAGAGTGTGAGAGCCAAATTGAATTGTATACAGTCTTAAATCTATGTGTACATAGTTTACCCAAATATTAAAATTCTGCCATTATTCATAACTTGTCAAGTTGACATGCTGCATCATTTTTAGTCCATTGCAAATTGTATTTTGTGCACTATAAAGGCCCAGATGTACTTTTACAAAAACGATCAAATGTGACGTCATCTCATAAAGTTTGTTTAGAGTTTGTTATAGTTTAAAAAAGCTTGCCAGCGTGAACTTTTTTTGGAAAACGCTGGCTGTTAAACATCTCTGAGCTACCACTAGTTTACATACTCATCTAAACACCACATCCGGCAGTGCAGACGGTGTTCGCAAACAAGTAGAAACCATTGCTCTGCTATTTCAAACATTTTTTTACCACTGAGTGAAAACCTTAGAAAAAAAATCAATGTAAGGATATTGGGGGCTTTAAAGGGGGTTACAGTGTGTTTGTTTGTTTATTTCCCTTCCACTCCATTGATTTTCCATTGTTTTTCTGTGTAAACATGTTCTAGACTGACTTCTTTTAGTTCAACTTTTAAAAAACAAATAACTAACTAGCTTTTTGTATTGCAATTTTTGAACGCTTTAAAAAACACTTTTTGAAATTATTTTCGCTTCAAAATGATTTTCTTAATCTCTAGTTTTATTGTTCATTTTTTAGTTTTCCACTTAGATTATATTATCATCCTTAAAACAAGTTACAGGTACTTGTTAAACAAAACTGCACAAGATATTAAGACTATAAGATATATCTTTTAGAGATAATTATTTTTTAAATTATTTATAGATCATTTTTAGAGCTTAATTTAAGATATATTCTCTGAAAACAAGTGTTACAAAAATCTTATTTTGAGAATATTTACTAAAAGGCGAGACAAAATAATGAATCATAAAAACATACCATTTTCCTTTGTAGACACCACTAGACCCCAGAAGAAGGACGAGGAGAATGGCAAAGAATATTACTTTATTTCCAATGACGAAATGACCAAATGTATCATCGGAAATAAGTTACTTGAATACGGCAGTTACCAGGGACACATGTTCGGGACTAAGATCGAAACTGTCCACGAGATTCACGAGCAAGGGAAAATCGCTGTGCTGGATGTGGAACCGCAGGTAATGACACACTGTCAAGTCAACCGTCAATGTAATTAACATAGCATTTGATCCCTACCCTTACCAAAAAGTAGTATACTTCAAGTTTATTTTAGTAAGTATACTTAAGTAAAGTTCAAGTATATTTTTAAGTATACTTTATGTAGTAAGTATACAAATATCAGTGTACTAGTAGTATACTTGTAAGTGTACTATTTCAATACTCACTAAATTGGCCCACTTTCTGTCTAGGAGCACAATTATAGCTAAAATATGTCTAAGTCAAGTATACTTAAATGTAATTTTAAGTATATTTCTGAGAAGTACATAAAGCCCATTTCTGAGAAGTACATAAAAAGTAGACTAAAAGTATACTTTCCTATTTTTAGTTTAAAAGAAGTATACTAATAGCACACTTGAATAAACTTCTTTTTCGTAAGGGTAGCATTGTGGAGATACAGTCAATGAACTTTCCAGTGTCACTAATTCTTGCTTTGACAATCAGTGGTTTGCTGAACGCTTTCTGTTTTTTTCCAGACGCTGAAAGTGCTCCGAACGGCAGAGCTCGCTCCTCTCGTGATGTTCGTTGCTCCTACAAACACTGCCAATCAGGTTACAAAACTGATTTATTCAAACTTGTTCATTTCTACTCATGCTTATGACCTGAAGGTTATAACGCAACAACCTTTAATTTTTACAACCCAAGTTTCCATTCTGCTTTTCAGTCAGAGGCGGTGCAAAACATCCAGAAAGAATCCGACAGCATCCTCGGTGCATACCGCCACTTCTTCGACGAAATGCTCGTCAACAACGATGTAGATGAGAGTGTTAAGGGTGTGGAGGAGGCCATCGAGAGAGCCTCCTCAACCCCGCAGTGGGTACCGATCTCCTGGGTGTACTAAACCCCAATCCCGTTCTCCAGTCGCCCCTCCAAAAAAATCCCACTCACACAGTGCCCTGCCTAATACAGTCGTTATCAAGACAGTTTGCACATGAATAAGTGTTTTATAGAATGTTTGGCAAAAAAGCAATAAGTTTGTTCTTTTTGTTTAATATGTGAATGATTTTCAAATGACAGAGCGCTATAGCATTAAGCGATGACATTGTTAGCGATGCAAAAAGGACCTCTAACTGTGATTCAAAATACCACTCAGTTCATTAAGTTCTGTTGGTTTTCGATCCTCCCTGAAGTTTCAGTGGGTGTTTGTTTTTTTTTAAAGATTATTACATTTAAAAAAGCACGTTAAAAACACAGGGAAATTGTATCAGTCAATATTTGAAAGCAGTCCTGAAATGTTCTTCATAATTATATATGGATTTACCTCAAGTCCTAATGTAAGGCACTTTTAAAAGAACTGAATAAACCTCTCCCTACACTCCAACTGCGAATGACTCTCTTGTGTTAAAGTGTGGAAAACTGTTACTGCGACTAGCTACACCATCTTTTTCACGTTTTAGCACTGGTGTCTGTGATGAGCAGTTTCAGCTGTTTCATGGATGTTGGATTTGTGAAGTTGTCTGTGCTTGGTTTTTGTGTAAACACGGTCTGTTGTTCTTGAAGCACCAAACAATTGGGCGGATAAGGTTACAGATGCTAGTGCTAAGTTAAAAAGATGATATATACACATTTGTTTGCTTCTTTCATTTTAACCTTTTAACCAATCATCAAAATGCACACTCATGCACAGTCTGGCCTTCAGTGTGCCTCAATATATTTCTCCTGATAATTTGCACACTGATATTTAATCACAGTGCTAGGTCTATTCTATTTAAAGCAGCACTATGTAACTTTTTCTGTGTTCAAAATTTGCAAAATGTATATAATGAGCGAGTACATCATGAATTAATCTTCCAAACCGCGTTTTTTGTCTTATTCCGAATCACTACGGTACACTTATAATAAGTACTTATATTTGGACTATTGTAGGCTGGTCGGGTCGTCACCGCTGCGGAGTAACACATACCTGCGTGAATCGCCAGAGACATAAATTTAGAGAAGTAGCTCCGGTTGGAATGGTCTTCCGCGGGATGTGTGCAGTTCTGTTTATTAACCGCTAGAGCGCCAAAAGTTACATAGTGCTGCTTTAACATTCAAAAAAAGTCAGATGTATTATACTAATAATGTTTCTGTCCTGAATTGTGAGTGACAGATTCACACATAAAATGTAATGCCCTTTTAACAGTTCAAGATCATGGTGAACTTCATCTTTCATCTAGTCTGACTAAAATACATAGCTAGTATGGTAAACAAACATTATGCTAAATATGACATTCATACACAAATGTGCCTAAAACAGCCCTTTGTACCCTGCATTCAGACGGACTGGGGCAATGTAACTACACTGCCCAATTTAAATTTCCTAATTTTTGTTTTGTAGTCACTGTAGTTCTTTTTTCCATTTGTCAATTGTTATAATCATAAATTCATGCATTTTATGTTTCCATGTAAGTGTTAGCATGTTGCTAAATTCATTATCTTTGTAAAATATCATATGTCTTTTAGTAAAAGTTTAATAATAATGGCTTTGCATTCCACTTTAGTTCAAATGAAAATTTAGGAAGAGAACCAACACAAACTCTTCCATAGGGCAAGGAATTTGGGAAATATTAATTAGAGTATGTTTACTGACCACTAGATGGCAGTATAGGATTGTGTTTAAGATAATAGAAGAATTAGAGTGGAGAATGTAGTGTACTTGCTGAATTCAGATCCGCATACTAGCATATTACTCTTACTAGTCTGCCTTACAAAGATATAGTAAAAACTGGAAGTCTATCTATCTATGTCTGTCTAATTGTCTAATTATCTTTGTTTATTTCTGAAGCACTTCAGAAGTACTTTTTCTTACCTTTGCGGTGTAATTTGAGCCACAGCTATCTTTCTCCATTGATGCTTATTCAAAAGTAGCTATGTATTGACTTTTTTTTTTTTTTTTTTGCATTCAACATTTAAATTACAAATATTTCATTATATTGAATGTTTAACTAGAAACCACTTCTTATTTTTTTAGGAGGGATTTTAAAGAAATACACTGCATTTGTCAAACTACTTGTTTGTTTTGTCATATTTCATATAATATAAATTGTAAAAATTGTAATTGAATGTGACAAGCCATTTTCAGCAGATTAGTACTCTAATATAATCAGGAACATTTGCATGCCCTTAATTTTAAACCCTCATCCTCTCCCAATTTTTTTGATTTATTTATTTACTTACTTCTACGTTCTTGGATTTTTCATAAGCATATCGATTTTTACATTATTTTACAGAGTATTTAACCATCATAATAGATGATGCATTGAGTCATTGAGTGTCTCCGCTGTCCCCTGGTGGAGAAAAAATAACATACAATTGCATTTTACATTTTATGATTATTGCCACCAGAGGGCCCTGTAGGATCTCTATGGAAATCTACATAGAGTAAATAAATTAAGGTGAAAAATGTTTTAACACTGCTTTATTACACTCTAAAAAATGCTGGGTTAACAACAACACCGTGCTGGGTAAAATAGGGACAAACCCAGCAATTGGGTTGTTTTGACCCAGCGGTTGGGTTAAATGTATAACAGACAGTTCATTTTTGGGTGAACTTTCCTTTGAGTTAATGTGAAGATTGCTTAAAATGACTGAGTAATTTGATTTAACCCAATCCATTTGAATTTAACTCACGAGACAACAGGGTAGTGAGTTTCTGCAGCAATAACAAAGCCCTAAAGCAGCATAAATTAAAGCATGAATGTTATGTAAAACTAGATGAGCACAGGAGCGCTAGTTCTAGTTCTTTTATTTATAAAGCACATTTAAAAACAGTCACAGGACAGACTGTTCAAAGTCACATAGTCAAAACAGGAAATAGCATACAAAAATGAGAGCATCGGCATCTTTTGAAAGCTAAAGAAAACAGGTGTTTTTACAGACAAGATTTCAAAACAGATAGGGAAGGAGCAACTCAACTGAGGAGGAGGAGGAGCAGCAAACTGAGTTTTGCTGGCTGCAGGTTGTTCCACAATCTAGGTCCCACCACCGAAAAGGCTCCATCTGCGTTTTAGCCTTGTGCAGGGAACCATAAGTAGGTTTTGAATACCAGATCTTAAGTCTCTGGAAGGTTCTGTAGGGATGCAGCAATTCAGATCGGTAACAAGGCATGGTTGTGTAAACATTTATACACAAATAGGAGCATTTTAAAATGAATCCTATGTGAACTGGAAGCCAGTGAAGAGCTCGTAAAAAGGGAATGGCATGACCTTTTGACCTTTCTTAAGAAAATTGGCTGCAGCATTTTGAACCAATTGTAAACGAGCAACATGGGACAATACAGAGAATAACAATAGTCCAAACCGAGAGGTTATAGAAGCAGGCATAGCTATCACAAGGGATTTTTATTTTTTTTTCAGGCAGGAAATTATTAATTTTAGAAAGTAGGCGGCGTGATATTTAAATACATTTCATTTTTATTTGAATTTACTTCAATTTAACAGGATTTCATATTTATTGTATTGCAAGTTCATAGTTTATTGGACTTTTTTTTATCGATATATTTATAATTCATTTTCAATTATTGCTGTAAATATTATGTAAAATAAATATTCGTCTTTTTGCATGATGTGATAGCTCTTCGGCCACTCTGTTCTTTAAGAGATTGTGTGTTTGAAACATGTTGTCAAGGCGGTCAGTATGATAAACGTGGATTTTTCTGGAAAGGACACATCTTCCAGCTGTATCAGATATCTGTCACGTCACACATTAATATCACTCACATGTCATGTATGCAGAGTGTAGACTATGAGTTTCTACATTTCCTTCTACGGCTCTAAAGCACCCGGCCTAAAGGCCTTGAAGGAAGCCTGTGTTCTGTACTGTCACATCCAAACTACCCTGATCCATGATGCTTCTTTTACATGTATACAGACTAGGGGCCAGAATTACTAAACAGGGCAAATCAGGTAAGACTGCAATTCCATAAAAGCGCCAATGGGAGTGGACATTAACATTAACTAATGGGACCTTATTCTTAAGTGGTACTGACACATCAGTTTTGCTCTCTTCTTTGTTTCTTTCATAGATTCTCTCTTGTAAATAAACAGCATTTGAGTTCCATTGACACCGGAATAGTGGCACATTGTAGGCCTGTGTATATAGATGGAGTCTTTAATAAAATAATTTTAGCAACTAGGCCTACTTAAAAACATCTTAATCAAAATTATGCTTGAAATCAATAGAGAATGAATGTTAAAGCATAAATATAAAACATTTAAGCACCTTTGCAGTAGTATGAAAATGCTTAGGTCAAGTCACGTTTATTTATGTAACGCTATATACGGACGTTTCAAAGCAGCTTCTTAAGCCAATGTATATAATATATAATATGTAATATGTATAATATGTCGTGTTTACAACGTAGGAAATGCATACCTGGTTGATGTAAATGTAGTGCTTGTTTCGTCCTGTGAGAGCGCTAAAGTTCACAACTGTCTGACTGACATCACACGAAGCTCCAAGACTAATCTGATCTGATGAGGGCTGTGGCTTTGCCATTAACTAGATATATCATTTTATTTAGACAGTTTGCCGTGTGAATTGTTTCTATACTGGGATCCTCGTTATCCTTTTAAGCTCGCTGAGGATGGCTGAGCCAAGTGGGAGATATCAGCAGGTGAGTGAACTCCACTGTAACTCGGCACGGCTATTTGTAAAGCAGACCAGAGGCAGGCGCCTCCACGGCGGGGAGTGTTGTCGGGAAACACCGAGGCTCTGACAGGATGCGGGCCGTAATGTTTTGAAATGAATAACACGTCCATTTAAATGATAGCGGCATGGCATAACACTTAAATTGCGCTCGTCTGTGAACATATAGCGTTTAACCAGTTCGTTATTTAAAAATGCTTGCTATAAATGCAGTTGTTTCTTGCTTACGTCAAAGTTTTCATTCATACAATAAATTATGTGTCTCTTTTACAGTAAGTTACCCATGCAAGGAAAGTAAACTTAACGCAGGGATATTGCAGATTGGCATATGTTTATGTAGCCAGAACCGGCCTGGTTTATTAAAGTGACAAGTTGAAAAAATATCTGGTTAGAACGCTGAACTAACGTTAGTACGTTAGAGGCCATTGTAATGTAATAGCACACTACAGCAGACATGTTGGCAGAAGTATGTTTGATTATTATTATTTTTTTTTTAAGAAACATCCTATTCGGTGACATTAAGTTTGGTCAAGGTTCTTGCACTAACCTTTATATGGTACAGTTCTGATATCAGATGGTAATACCATGGTACTTTGATCTATGGACTATAGAATTGCATGTCCAAGCTACTTCTGTCGTGGTAAAACAATGATAAAACCACTATTCTGGACATACAACGTCCCATAAACCATGGTATTACGATGGTGAATGTCTGGAGACATGGTTAACCATAAAATGCACACTACAGCAGACATGTTGGCAGAAGTATGTTTGATTATTTTATTTATTTTTTTTAAGAAACATCCTATTCGATGACATTAAGTTTGGTCAAAGTTCTTGCACTAACCTTTATATGGTACAGTTCTGATATCAGATGGTAATACCATGGTACTTTGATCTATAGACTATAGAATTGCATGTCCAAGCTACTTCTGTCGTGGTAAAACAATGATAAAACCACTATTCTGGACATACAACGTCCCATAAACCATGGTATTACGATGGTGAATGTCTGGAGACATGGTTAACCATAAAATATGTTTAAAAGATCTGGAAAAGAATGTAACCATGTATGTTAATGATGTATATAACAATGGTACATTAATTCTTTTACGCCTGATATAAAACCTGAAACAATAGACTAATAATAGTGAGAATGTGGAGCTTATACTTATACTAATATGCAATTTGGTGCAGATGTTGTTATTTACATGATTGAAAAGTAAGAAATTGTGATAGCTTATATTGTAAATCAGTGAGATTTTTACCAGACTACTTACCTAAAATGTTCAGTTCAGTTGCTTCAGTCCAGTAAATGTGCACCTTAAAATATTACTAACAATATAAAAGTTATTCTTATGTTTACTAAAATTCATGAAAGATTTCACACCAATAAGACACGTATACCACACCATGAAGGTGGACATATTTTAGAATTATACTAAAAGGGATTTTGCTTATTAAAAAAGTATAAACTATCCATCAGAGAGCAGAAGGCATTTAGTAGATGTAGTAGAAGTAAAGTTTTGACCATGTTGATAATTTAGAGGCATTAGAAATGCATGTCAAATTTAATACAATAATATTTTTAAGGGTAGTAATAATAGTGCATTTACAAAATGGTGTAATCCTATTCCATCCCTATTATGTGGCTGTTTACTTTTTCATTTAGTGAATAAAACTTAAAGTTTTTCATTGAAGTTGTTTTATGTAATGTGAATACTTCTGGTCATCATTAATAAAGGGCAGTTTGGCAGCCCTTTTTTTCCCTGATTTGTGAAATAGTGAAGATGAACACTTCTGGAACAGATGTGAGTGTTTAGTGCATGGCCATGTGATGAGTGTATGAAAAGTCATGTGAGTTTAAACTTAGTTACATTTGTGATGGAGTTACAGTGTCATGTTGTGCATTTTTACAGAGAATTTACACTGACACCACTGGTATTTCAATTTAACACATTAAAATCAGGTTTTACTTGTACCAGATCATCTCATATTTCCACTTGCCTTTGATAGAGTTGTATTTGCAACCATGTCACAGTCAGACTTGGGAGGCAAAGTTCAAGATTTCATGCAGTCAATGAATTCTCTTGTGTCACCAGCTGCCCAATGAAGAGGAACCAGAGGAGGGAGCTCAGGTGGCCAGTGATCCTCCGCCCCCTTACAGTAGTGTCGCAGCTGACAGCGCAGGTATGCAACATTTATAGGGCCCTGTAAAATCCTTTTAATTTTCTGTTTTCCATTTTAATTCTTCTGGGTTGTATTTTAAAGGTTTAATATTGAATTTAAATAATCACAAAGAATGTCTAATGATCATGGAAATCATAGTGCACAACATGTTTTTTGTTTGTTCAAACCATATTATGAAATGGCAATCAACATTGATTTTTATTTTTCACTCTTCACAGCATATTTTGATTACAAAGACGATGCAGCATTTCCCAAGCCCCATTCAAACCATATTATGAAATGGCAATCAACATTGATTTTTATTTTTCACTCTTCTCAGCATATTTTGATTACAAAGACGATGCAGCATTTCCCAAGCCCCCATCTTACAACGTAGCCACATCTCTACCATCGTACGATGAGGCAGAGCGAACCAAAGCAGAGGCTACTATCCCACTGGTCTCAGGCCGAGTAAGTACCGCAAATCTCAGCCACTAATTCCAACCAGCTCTGGGACAAAAAAATCCTTAACATCACCACAGGAATTGCTGTTTTAATGTAATGTTTCCCCTGTTCACGGCTCTATTTCTCTGCCACTCACTGCTTGCGTACAGCACAGGGAACGTCTGGACACATTCGATGACGTAACTCGCTGTGCGCTGGAGGTACAATAACAGAGTGTGTGAGACTGTAAAGTGTGGAGGTGATGTCAATCTAGGAAGACCCCAGGGCCCTGTTTTTCTGGCTTGAACCTGTTACAATATAGGTCTATATTTATTTTTGTGATGTAATTTGCTGCACAGAAAAAATATCAGCATTAACAGCAAGCATTGCATGTTTGATACAATTATTAGCATTTGGATAGCAGCACTGATTTGGTGCTTTTCAGGCCATGAAATGTTGCCCCTGGTGTCTTAGGTTTTAGACGTGATGATAGTTATGTGCTATAGAGTATCCGAAACATTATTTTTTTTCTGGAGATATTTTGCTATTTGAATGTGTTATGTCTGTGGAATGTTTAGTAATTTGACACAATCATCTTTAAAAATGTGTATATATAAAATTCAGTTCTTTCAGTCAGAACAACTTTTAAAGGAAGTTCAAAAATGTTTGATGAAAGTGGAATCATGAACCTGCTAGCAGTGGAGAAATTTTAAAAAAGGGACAATTCTTTTGAGACTTTATTGTAATATGAAAACATGCTGTAACCTCATTAGTGATATTTATTCTTTATAGTATTGATTAGTTTGAGAATTTTGAAGGCAGTAAAAAGAAATGTAGTGAATTTATTTAGAAAGGCAATGTGCATTTAAAGAGTGTGCAAAAAGGAGTTAAAATATAAGATGTTTGCTTACCATTTGAAAGTAAAAATTAAAATGACTGAATTAAAAATTATAAAGAAAAACGAAAGCAAAGCAAACAAAATGTTAACTGGTTGAACCGCTGCCAGAGCCGATCCTCCCTCTACGCAAGCTGCGTAGGGGCCCCGAAACACCAGGGGGCCCCCTTGCTCTCAAAGATGATTTAATTTTAGTTTCGTTTTTGAATTTGGCCAGCGGTTATGAAAACCGCTTATGTCATTTCTTATGTCGCCCTTTCTACGTAAAAATCTGTCAAATCATGTAACGTGAATGTCATACAGTCTCTTACTCGAGACAAAAAAAAAACGACTTGAAAGTGTAGCCACAGAAGAGACACTGTTTCTGAAGCGCTTTCCGTGAGCGCGATTCGAGACGGAGTGAACACGGGCAAAGGCGTTTCATTCATTCATAACTCGTCCAACCTCCCCCCGCCGACCAACCCGCTAAACTACTGTATATGCTTTAGTTTAAAGCACTTAGTATGCATTTAGTATTCTCATGTTTAGGACAACATAAAGGCCTTTTCACACTGAACGCAAAATTCGGCGCGATGACGCTTTTAAATCGAAACAATAGATCACTATGGGGCAATTCACATCAGGCGCGATCATTCATGGCGCGCAAAAGTGAGGAATTTTTTTTCGTCCTGTGTGTCGATTTTTTCCCCCGTCACTCCGCGACCAAACAGGCCGTCCAATCAGATTTGAGCTAACATCACGTGCCCGGAGCAGCTGCTGTTGCACAAAAAGGCTAGAGTGGTGGCGCTGTTTCGAAAACCAGTGTAAACAAACAAACACTGAAGAAGAGTGTCCCGCAAGGACAGATTTATCTTATTATAATTTCTGTTAATTCTCCACTGAATCATGTGATCTGGACAGCACTGTCTGTTTTCTTCCACGTGCGCGAGTGTTATATGAGGCTCAGCATGTTCACTGTCTTGATCTCCTGAATTAAAATATCCTGTAAAAAAAATCGAGTGAAACGTTTTTCTACACATGAAATATGAAAGCAAATAGACATGATTATGATGATATATTTTCTGTATGTTTTGTATGCAGCTCATGGTATTGTTCTTCCTATCATTCTGCCTTACAACCTCAGCAGCTGGGCGTTATGGCGCCATATCTGGGTTTGGTCTGTCCCTCATCAAATGGATTCTCATTGTACGGGTACGCTTCCACCTAGACATTCGCAGCTAATTTTGCACGTTATGATTTATTTAGATAGCATATCTATTGGTTAACCATTTTGGCTTGGCTGGGTTAGTGAGAACATTCCAGAAGCACATTACCCCACATTAGTAATCACCACAACTGCTCAAATCTGACTAAATGATTTGAACATGCTGTAATGTATTGTAATGTGTTTTCTTCATGACATTACAAGCCTGGACATGATCGGTGCTTTATCCGTGCATCTCTTTCTCACTCTTTCTTTTCATTCTCAGTTCTCTGCTTATTTCCCTGGTTACTTTGATGGACAGTACTGGTTATGGTGGGTGTTTCTGGTGCTTGGTAAGTTCCTTAAGTGAAATGTTTCACTTGTGAAGCAGGCTTATGATCCGTATAAGTAGATTCTAAATCATAGGTGGATGTTTATCTAGTGTAATGACATTCTTAATTTTAAGTGCATCTTATGCATTAAAAAAGTGTATGTTGTCGGCCCAGTTAAAAGGCTGTTTGAAGCGAGAGCACTGAAATGAGTTTTTATGACCTACAGGCATCCTGCTCTTCCTCAGAGGCTTTATTAACTATGCCAAGATCCGAAAAATGGCAGACTCCGTTTCTACTCTTCCGCGGACCAGAGGTCTCTTCATCTATTAAAGGTTATTATTTCTGAGCCTCTTTTATATGAAGGCAAAGCTATTTTGTGTTTATTAAATGAAGTTCTAAAACTTAATTGTCTCGAGACTTGCCTTCAATTGATGATTATAATCATATATTGATTCCCTTATGAGCAACCCCTTTCTTAATATTTAAAGGCAGCTATATATATTTTTTTATGTTTTAAAAAATTTATATTTAAAAATCTATGCAAGGTTAAATTAAAAGCCCTTTTCCCACAACCTATTGTTATGAACACCCTCTTTTCAGGAACTGCTTTTATTTCCAGCAGTATTTCTTAACATGTGAATATTAGTATTAGCATAGAAAGTTTAACAACTGAGATGAACTGAAAAGGTTTCACAGGCATTTGACGAACTGAAATGGAATAACGAGGCATTGAACAAAGCGGGGGTCAATATCAAAAGTTGCAGTGAGTATTTTGCACATGCCATATATGTTAATAAATACTGCAATGATCATAAAAAAAAATGTGTTCAGAAGCAAGCATGCAATTTGGAACAGCTCTGGAAGAGTTTATAATAACGACTGTCCAGTCCAGTAAAGTGAACACATGAATAATGCAAATGTTTATTTTTTTTCAATCTGCTCTAGTCACTTGCTGGAAATGAAAACACATTCACAGGCCTGCATTGAGCCGTTGACCCAGCAGTGAAAACATATTTAAGAGAAAAAAAAATCCTTCCATCTGTTATCTACTCATCTAAAAGGAAGACCGCGGAATTTCAGAGCGATGGAGGAAGAGCATTTTTTTTCCACCCTCTGCTTTTGAAAATGCAGTTTGGGTGTCCGATAGCAAGATACTCTTTTTACGTTTCTAGATGTAAAGTAGTGGATGCTAACAGCTCTGTACCTGTTCTGAAATCATTAGTGGTTTGATGTTGAGTGCTATTTGCTTTTTTCAAGTCTGTAATGTATTTAAAGGGGTCATATGATGCGATTTCATTTTTTCCTTTCTCTTTAGAGTGTTACAAGCTCTTGGTGCATAAAGAAGATCTGTAAAGTTGCAAAGACTAAAGTCTCAAATCCAAAGAGATATTCTTTATAAAAGTTAAGAGTTAGCCACACCTACCTAAAACGGCTCGTTCGAACACGCCCCCACATACCTACCTCACTATGTGGGAAGATTTGCATAAAGCCCCCAAATGTTCACGCAAAGAAAGAAAGCGTAACTTTTATTCTCGCTGTAGTATTGTTGACGCTGCAGCCATGTCCCGGCCGGACACGGCATCGACAGTATGGTGAGGGGCGTAACATTTCCGTCTCATGCTTGAGGTATTCGGCCAATCACAACGCATTGGATAGCTGGCCAATCAGAGCACACCTCGCTTTTCAGACCGATTAGTTTTGTAAAAATCGACGCGTTTCAAAAAGGCGGGGCATAGAGGAGAAACAATAATGTACAGTATGTGGAAAATAATGTGTTTTTTTAACTTTAAATCGCATAAACACATTTCATTACACCAAATACACAAAATAATGTTCTTTTTAGCAGCATCATATGACCCCTTTAAAAAAGCCTTATGTATGAGATCTTGTTTATAGTAAAGGCATGCACTATACTCACTGTTAACCAGTAGGGGGAAGTCTTGCTTTTTTATTTCAGTGTTTTTCCCCCCACCCCCTCATTCAGTGACGTTTGACAAGAAGGCAACCAGTCACTGCTAGTCACCATTCATGAAGAGCTTTTCTCTTTGTGAATGGCTGTGTGAAATGAATTGAATCTAAAACAGTCTATGCTTTTCTTCTATTCTCTTCTACTGTTTCTCTCTTGCTCCCTACATGACATGAAATTAAAGTTGCTGTTTTTAAGTTATAATTTTTTGATGTGGTTCAGACATGTTTTATTGGCCATGTAGTTTTCCGAGTGGCTTATTAATAGCAAAATTAAGATCATGGAATATTTTTTTTAAAGATCTAGAAGGTACATGAATGTCATCTAGCATTAGCAAATTAGTCTTTTGCACTCATGTTTGAGTACATGCAACTTTTTCAGTGAAGGAAACGTTAATATTTGCAGTTGAACATTTCTCCTTTTATACAACGTGGCTGATGGCACTGCACATTTTTCCCCACCTTTGAATATACATTTAGCCGGATGCCTCTCCCCCACCTTGTGCAGTGGCCGTGATAGGGGCCCGTTTGATCTCTCGCTGTCTAATCATGCATGATTTTGTTGTGGCTTGTCTGCTCTTGTCACCTTGGGTCTCGTTCCGTGACACAGGAAGTTACTCTTTTGTGTTGAGTTTTCCATGCAGCTTTGCGGTCGCCCTTTGAATTCCAGTGGCTGTGCACATGCATTTGCTTGTAAATAAGATACTGCTATTAAATGTCTCTGGTGTTCAACGTTTACTGGAACTGTTTTTTGTGTATCTTTGTCGTAAGGGTGCAGTATATACGAGAAATGTGAGTAAACATTTAAAGTAATTAGCAGTTAAACTCTGATAAACGTTATACAGTAAATAAAATAAAAAAATGTAAATTAATGTCAATGGGTTTTTTTTAAAGTTAAGAATATTATCAGTAGTATATGCCTTATGATTAGTAATTTGATAAATTTTGCTTTACTTTAAGTTATGAAATTTAAACTTACATTTTTTTTAATGGTTTAAAATACTTTTAAAACCATATGAGGATAATATGAATACAAAAAAAGGTTTCTAAGCACAAGTTTTAAACTAGATTTTTGATTTTGTTTTCTTGCACTCTTATTTGTCATTGACCGTTTTCTAACAGCAAAAGCTTTTGAGAAAGAATCATCTGTTACTGAAGGTTTATTTTCAACTGTTATCCTCTCCTGAAGTCGCTGAACCAATAAAACTAGTCTGACCTGATTTCCTTGGTCGGATGTAGAGGAAAAATATTCATGTCAACAAGGGCAAAATTCTGTTGTGGTTGCGGCCGGAGCCTATTGACAGGCAATATATCATGTCAGCGAAATGAAAGTAATGAATCATGTGGAATGTAGAATATTAAACAGCTGGTTTTGAATACAAAGATTTTTTTTTTTTTTTTTGCCGATGCCCATCTAATAGCTCCTGAATGCAGTGCAGTTGTGTGTATGCGAGTGTGGGTTTGAGGAGCAGGCACAGGCTGTCTCCTGTTATTGCCTGTTTGTGCCGTCCATTTGAGGTGTGAAACCAGCAGCTCTCATTCCTCCTCCTGGTGTGACTTCCTGGGGGAAGCGCACAGCATTTAATAACCTAACACTCTCCTACCACTGACAATCATCTCCGTAAACACAAACACACTCATGCTCTGGAGTCCTAAATATATCCAGGATGGCTTTCCAAGAAGGGGACCAGAGTCCCATTTGAATGTGGAGGGAGGTGGAGTGTGACTGTGACAGATGAGGGGGAAAAAGCAGTTTTATTTATTTAAAGTTATACATGTTTTTTTTTTTTTTTTAAACACATTCCTTGAATACTATGGTAAATATGGTGATCATTTAGTACCATCCATGCTATCACCATCTGATACCATCACATGAACCATGGTAATACCGTGATTTTATTGTATTATTTTATTTTTAATATGTTCTATGGCAGTGCAGTTTTTCGAACATTGTTTTGTTGTAATACCAGTCTTTACACATATTACACGTATTCTTTAAATGACATGCAAATACTATGATAATATGGTAATCATCCAGTACCATGGTATGAAAACCTTGCGATACCATCAAATGTACCATGGTGATAACATGGATTTTAGAACATGTATCATAGTAATACCATCATTATTTGTATTTTTTTTTACATACCACGGCAGTACCTTTTTTTGGACGTGAGTAAATGGCATATATAATATGTGACCCTGGAGCACAAAAGCAGTCTGAAGTCGCTGGGGTATATTTGTAGCAATAGCCAAAAACACATTGTATGGGTTAAAATTGTTGATTTTTCTTTTATGCCAAAAATCATTAGGATATTAAGTAAAGATAATGTTGACCCTTATGACTGGTTTTGTGGTCCAGGGTCACATATGGTAATCGCCCAATACCATGGTATGAATCAAAGTACCATGCTATTACCGACTGATGCGTTCGCTGTACCATGGTACCGCCTCAGCACTTAGTAAAGGTGGGGGCGGGGGGCTTCAGTCACTTATGACTCATACAGCCCCCCCTCCTCCCTCCACACACACACATTTGGCATAGATGTTCTGTGTCTCTGCCTCAGTGCTGATAAAGTCAATCGAACGGCGCAAGGACTCTCGCTGACTGGTTACCGTGGCGAGGGTGGACCAGTTACCGGGAGTGACGGCCGAGCGATTGGTGACTCATCGGCGGCTGCTGTATTCTGCTCACGCTTGCTTTCCGCACCTTTCTCTCATCGCTCTGTTTATGAACGCCGTTCATTCACAATGTCTGTATTTTTGCTCATCTTATATCACCTGAATTCTGTTCTAGCAATCAGTAACCATCATATAAACTGTCTATAGGTCAGTGTTTCCTAACCTTTTTGGTTTTATGAGGCCCCACGGCCCCATCAATAAAGCTCAAGAACCTCTTCATCGAAACTGAACCAGAAATGTGCAACTTTCGAGTTATATTCTACAGGAAATCATATAACATCATTTCTTATTATTACGATAACCATATATGTGTCCCAAATTATGTTGTAAACACTATACACTATGTACTCTACTGTCTAGTGTATGACGTTTATATGGTTATTTTGTCATTCAGCATTGGAATATGATCAAATCTAATTCAAAATATCAACAAAAGCTATAGTAGTATATCATTTGTTCACTTTTTAATTCAAAAGAAAAAAAATACAGGGCAACTGTCTATAAGTGAATTTAAAAATAAAAACAAATTAACTGTAAATTACATACATATTTATGCGGTGGAATTTAAATACCATAGAAGCAAGTCTGAAATTCACCATAATTTATATATTTATAAATTTTAATATTTTTCCCCCAGACTTGCCAAACTTACCAAACTATTTATATATATATTTTTTTTTCTTTTGGAACATGAGGATATTTTAAGCCAAGGAATATTTCAACTGTTTTGTCCGTACAATTAAAGTCATTGTGGTCCCAAACAACATTGGACCCCACTGACTTTTATTGTATGGATATATCTGAACATATTTTACTTAGTTTTCCACAGAAGAAAGAATATTTTGAAGGAAAAAAGATTTGCAAATGATTTTTGGGTGAGCTATCCCTTTTACAAAACATTGGAAAAATGATACCCCTACATGGGAATCAGTTCTATGGAGCAGTAAATCATGCAGCGATGCAAGAGTCCTGCCGAGTCTTTGAGATGCTGAAATGTTGGCCAGCCATATTACCCAGCTATCTACATCCACATTTCATATTTTTATGAATGAGGAGAGACAGTGAATGCTGGGATGCTGCGATTGGCTGCAGAGGACTCATTCAACCATCCGCCCTCCAAACACACACACACACACACACACACACACAGAAAGAGCGAGGAGACGTCATGCTACGCTTCCGCAGTGCATCAAGGGAATCAGACTGCCTCTGACTCATGCTGGAGAAATTGAGAGAAAGAGTGAGTGGGGAGGGCTCGCTCTTCATTCTGATTTTCTCCTCTTTCTCGCTCGCTGCTCCTGGAGCCCAGTGATGTAATACAGGTGACCTATTCGTCACAGACCACCCCCGCTTCAGCCCTGGCAGCCGATTGGCTGAGCGCTTGTATGAATGGGCCGCTCTGTTCCCTGTGGGGAGGGGGTTTGGGTGGAGTGAGGCAGAAGCACGTCACTCGTTCATTGAGAAAAAAAAAAGGAAGTGGAGAAAAAAGTCTGCTGGCTTCCTTGGCAGCAGCTCTGAATAGAGCTCAAATGAGTTTGCGTGCTGATCTCACTCTTTGTCACACATGTAGGCAGTGGCGGTGACAGCGGGCGTTTTTATTCTGTGTGTGTGCTGATGGATATC